TTTTAGCATCTAGGATGTCAAAAATGTGTCTGGTGATCCCAAGATGCTGCCTTTACTGCCCTCGCAGTTAATTTTACATCCTGTGAATGCAAATTCAACTGCGGGGGCAGTAAAGGCAGCATCTTGGGATCACCAGACACATTTTTGACATCCTAGATGCTAAAACAGCATATTATTTTTTTCGGTGTACTTTTTCATAGCTTCATATAGCCCGGCTATATGATTTGCTCCGCTCTCTACAGCCAGCTAGATGATTTTCAATAGCCTCCTTTAGTCGGATATAAGAATTCTTATAGTATTTTGAAACGCAGCTCCTATCGCCAATTTTTACCAGGGTGACGCAGATTTTCTATCAATTTCCGCGGCACAACTACGTTTATTTTTTTACTCTCAGCAAAGAGTACTTTCGAATTGTTGCACTCAACAGATCTGGAAATTTATTTACATTTTAAATCTATTTTGACACATTTTGGGGCTTCCAAGATTAACATTTTAGATGATACTACCTGAATGAACCCGGTTTTTTCATTTGGACGTGCTAAAAGAAACTATGTTACACGCAAACCCTATGTACATATATAGTTCCTTCTAGCATAAATACGTCTATTAAGATTCTAAATTAACAGAAATAATCATCCTCGACGAAGGTTTTCCCCCATCCAGTATTTTAGGAGGGGGCAGATGATACTGTCTTCAATTCTAGGGGGGGGCAAGCCTCCCTTGGACCCCCCCCCCTTCGGGGATTCATACGCCCATGCCCGGTTTTTATCAACTCCGCTTAAATTTAACTTTTTGTCGAAGCAAATCTTTTAACGCTATTTTTGGGGAATTTTGGGTTTGGACTAAGTTGGAGTCGATCATTGAAAACTTAAAACAGTCCGAAAGACAGCGAAATACGATATCGATGGCTATAAAGTGCGAAATTTGCGACGTCGCAAACTTCCTGACATGCTTGATGTTTTCCTTGGGAAACTAATCATCGTAATTTCTTGAAAACTGCCCTATTTTTCTTCTCGGTCAGCAGTCAAAACTTTTAAGCTGTAACGTTAGCTTGTCTCTCTTCAAAAAAATACAATAGGAGCGGAAATGTTCAAGCATCGCAATGGAGATACGTGGTTTCGCACTTTGACCATCGATATATTGCATGGTTAATATGGGGCTGTGTCTTGTCTTATCGACTTACGTTCAATAATCGGGCCGCGTACCCATAGAGAGGTGCTTATTGAATGTTGAGCTGAAAATAATTCCGTAATAACAGGTGATAGAGGTAGGCATTAGGCGCATATACGAATTTTATCTCTATTTGGACGCATTTAAAGCAACACGAAATATGTCCATTGTGACATGACACCTATCATGTATGTATTCTTATGGATCTTAGGGCGCATATCAAAATAGATATAGTTCCTATTGATTATAATTACCTAGTCCATTTCTCGATCGACGTCTTCCGATGACGTTTTGACAATCCAAGAGCCGCTGTCCACTTGACAGTAACCCTGTCCAGTGGCGTGGCGTGCTTCGCGATTTATCGATTGATATACCGTTTAAACATATGGAAAAGGATCGATAGACAGGGTGCTCGCAACGAACACCTCACGGAACGCAAGGAGCGGTCTTTTCGCGGCGTCTGACGCCAATGAATCTGCCTGACGATTTTGCGTGGGGACGCACGGTACCTTTTAAGGCCTAGATGCACGCGGATCTAATCCTATCCTAGGTATCTAATCCTAGTTTTTAACAGAAATTTAAATTTTTATTGGTTAGATTTTTTTAAATTTTAAAATGTCTACTTATTTATAATTTGTTTTATTAATATCTTTTATAATCAATATAATGCATCTAAATATTTAGTTAGTTCTATTAATAGAATATCTAATTCTATACCCCACACAATACCTCTTATTGTCGTTTCTTGTGAACCAGATCTCCGACAGAAGGGCCACGTCCACATTGAAATCTCTCAGCGTGACGGCTGCGATAGGATTGCGCGAATTGCTAGGATTTGCCTCCTTTTTTACCTTTTTGGAGATGCATAGGATTGCGCGAATTTTCCTGGTTCTGAAAACTAACATGTTTGCGCGGATATTCAATATATATTAATCAAAAATAATGACACGCAATCCTACAGCCTGCATTATTCCAGTCTTGTAGGCGCTAATATGCGTTCCGCGCCAACTGACCGACTGCACTGCGTTTAGTGCAATGCGAGAAGTACTCATGCGGTCTTGTAGGCGCTTATATGGGCTTTACACCGCCACACTTTCGGGCGCAATGTGTGAAGTATTCCTGGAGTCTTGCAGGCGCTAATATACGTTTAACGCCGGCCGCGCTGTGTTTGGCGCGATTATTCAAGCTCGCGTTAGAATAATCGCGGCGTTGAATAATAATCCTTACAAGGCCTGCGTTTCGACGCCGTATGAGCATTCTCACGTTGCCTCAACCAACTCTCCCGATTAAAAAGTTTTCTCCGAGAAAATCTAGGAAAGTTCTTTTTACCTACAACCATTATTCAATCTTTTCAGCAAGACATCGAACACTTGTCAACAAACCAACTCAAAATAGCGTCAACATAAAAATGCATTTATTTTTCATCTGTTTCCTGTTTTGCCAAAGTTCTACCTGAAATTAACTTAATTTTAAATTCGTGCAATCCTTGTGCCTTTTTTGCACAATCCCCATATATTTTCTTGGACCTTTCCCGCAATCCTGGATTACCGAGCGTGACATTGAATTGCTCGGCCTTATTCACCCGTGTCAGTCCGCCGCAGTTCCAAGCCATAAAATTTAATGACGTCCAGATTCTATCAGATTGTGTGTGTGAAAGTCGTACCACATCATCATAGTTAATGACTGTATCATCCTGTTCGGAAAAAGGACAGTCATCATTATTTGGAAAAGACAAAGAGACATTGTACACATAATAATACAGGAAAAAGATGAATCATTTATTTAGATCGAGCTTCTAATCGGCTAATTTTTTCATTTAATAATTGAATTTGCACATTAAGTGCTTCAGTGGTTTTCAGAAGCGTGCTGATAATATCAGCTTGATTAGAGTTTGACTCATCATTTTTAACTGCTTGCGCAAAATGCGCTACTGGGTGCACTAACGAGCGTTTTTGAAAATACCGCGCTACAATGATGAATAACCAAGCAGCCAATGGCAGCTGAGTATTTGTCTATTTCCGGCACCTGCAATCTCTGAGAACGGATGACTCATTTTTTGCATGCATGGTTTGTTTACCATTTACCGAGGAAGAGATAACGAAAAATTTGTGTTTTGTTTTGTTTGTTTTCCTTAGTCCCAAGCCTCTTACGATCATGTGTATGAAATTCCTTTGATTTTTTGGTTTTCTCTCCAAATTCCTTGAGTTTTGTTTTAAAATTAATCCATCCGTTTCGTTTTTTGTAATAGCAGTTATGGGTCTGTTCGGGAAGTCACGGGAAACTGACCCTAAAGCTCAGGTAGATTTCATTTTTCTTCTTTACCCTTGAGATAAAGTCAAATATTTTTACATAGTTCCTTCACGAACTACAGCCTTGCATTTTTGTTGCTTTCCTAACGATCATTTGCAATAATTTTCGACAAATTCTTTCCATTGTGAAAGCATAACCTCAAACTTCAGCTCGCTCGAGCAAGAGAAAGCTTGTTCGGGTGTCGCTAAACTTCATAATAGAAAGCTCTTGTTGCTTGGCGTTGGTATTGCTCTCCGTCCTTTTAAATATAATGGGTTGCCTTTGTCCGGCAGGTCATAATGTGGCTTCAATTTAAAATACATGTTCGGAAATATAACTGCATTTGGTCTGGTAATGAACTGATCAGGCTGTTTAGTATGTGCGCTGGCCTGCTCTAATCAGGGAAGGTTTTACTGGGGACTAATATAACAGCGATGGGTCACATTTCAAACTACACGCCTCACTACACTAGCCATCCTCAACAACGACTTCATCGGGAAGTCCCAATCTTTAATTAATCAACCTGAGATTGCGGGAAGAAGAAACTTTGAATTTGAGACTCTCTTGAATTCAAGTAAATTTTGGCAGGTACTATTACCTTCAAATGTGAATGAAAAACTCTAACTAGCAGGGAATATATTAGTTTTGAGTGCCCTCTCAGGAGGCTGTGCCCAAAGTGGAACGGAAAAGCCACTATCGTAATTCTTGCATTCTGTTTTCATTAATGATGGCTAATGGCATATCTCTCTGTGCTGTTTTTTAAACCAAGAGTGAAAGGAGCAGTTTCTTTTTCTGAGGAGAATGAGTACTCATTACCAGACATTTCTGTTCCAATTCTCTGCTTAGATAAAACTGGAAAGGGCAACAATCTTGACAAGCATCTAAGCTCATACATCTGCTATTTACAAAATAAAATTAAAAAATATTGTATTCTAAATACTTATTATACCTAGCTATTAATCTAATTTTTAAAAACTTCAGAGTCCTTTAAGTAACTGGCTTTCTTCCCTTATTATACTGTTGTTGACTTGTATGCCATCTGGCTTTTGCCGTTTCACTGTGCTTAAAATAGTATTTTTTAACTGCTCAGTATCACAATTTGAGCTTCTTTGTTCCTGGAATACTTTTCATTTTTCCCTTTGTTTGTTTGTAGGTCAATGAGTGGACTCATAAAATCCGGAAAGAAGGTTACCAATTAGATCGTCAAATCAATGGTAAGCAAGACCAAACAATTTTCTATTCTCATGCACCTATCCTTATCTGTATTTCAGCCGTCCAGATGAAAAGTGACCGCTGGCGGACAGAAGAACCTAAGTACACAAAAATTCCAAATTGAATCACTAATACCTTAGCATAGAGGAGTGCTTTTCAAAAATTTGAGCACAAAAACGATTGAAAAAATCAAACCAAACTTGAGTCTAAGCCGTTGAAAAATAGTGATTTACACAATGTGGTCTTGAGAAAATGCCATAATTTCCGTATTCTAGGCACAATATTGCATGATTGTAACGCAACCTCATCACTGTGTAAATCTTTGCACAATGGAGCTCTTGCATTTGTCAGGAATTTGCAATTCAAGTATTGATGCCTCTGTAATATTTTGCGAGAAACAGGATGATTCGTCTGATTTTCTCTGAAATCAACTCCAAAGTTCAAAAAAGCTCTCAAAGTTGAAGCTGTAATGCAGAGGATATCCTATGCTACCTAAAGAGTCCACCTCTATATCAAGAAAAACTCCATCACTGCCCCAACTTTGAGAGCTTTTTTAAAGATTTTGAGTTGATTTTAGAGAAAACAAGTGGCACCATTGTGTTTCTCGCAAAGTTTTATGTAAGTGATAGTATTTCAAACGCAAATTCCTCTATGCATGCAAGAGCACCATTTTATAATACCTGAATCACAATGTAAACCATATGAGGCCTCCTACCCAGTTTAAGGCACTTAAATTTTTTAAATATAACCTAACCGATCAAAGGAGCTGTTTAAGGAACGACTATGAATACAAACCTCAGTCTTTGTATAAATCTTCGTAGGGTCATATTCACACGTACCGCTCTGTCTCTCTTTTCTTTCCTCTTTTTCCTGTAAGCTTGCAATAAAAATTTCTAATGAGCTGAATCTCTTTTTTAGCTATTAAAAGAGAGGAAGAAAAGGTGAAAAGAACTTTGAAAGAGGCTGCCAAGAAAGGAGATAAAGACGTTTGCTTGATCCTTGCAAAGGAGATCCTCTCAGCAAGAAAAACAATCCAGAAAATCCATACCTCCAAAGCCCACTTAAATTCAATTCAGCTGCAAATGAAGAACCAGTTGGGTAAGTGCTTTTGTTTTTTTAACACTATCTAGGGGTGCAGAGAATCGACGGTGAAACTTCAAAAATGCGTGTATCGGTTAGGTTGTTTCCAAATCTTTGCTTCTAGGTATTCTATTTTTTACAAGCAGAACAAACCGACATCATGGCTTGATCTTGAAAATTTCACAGAATATTCTTCACACAGAGAAAAAAAATCACTGGCAATTTCAAGAATCGACGTTTAGTAGTTTTGCATGCAGGAAATAAAGTAGAAAAGGATGTCTGCAGTGCATCAAACTGGTACACGCATTTCCACAGTTTCACCATTGAATTGCCTAATCTTAGCAAACAGAAGGCAAATTGTCATCTTCCAACCAAAGTATCACAAGCGCCAGTTACGCCTGTACGCTAAATTACCAGACCTCTCAATATCATTTGTTTCTTTTTCTTTTAAACTTTTGCGTATACTCTCCTGAAAATTTCAGTGATCAATTGATAATAAACGGCTCACTTGATTGCATGATTTTGATGAGTTTTGAATTAATTCCTGTTTCGAATTTACTTTACTTGAATTCTAGGTGTCCTGAGAGTTGCTGGTTCTCTTCAAAAGTCAACCGAGGTCATGCAAGCAATGCAGCGTCTTGTAAGAGTCCCTGAAGTGGCAGCCACAATGCGAGAAATGTCCAAAGAAATGATGAAGGTAATTAAATCAACACAGAGCTTTGGGCTTCTTTAAACTATTAATTTCTCCTCAAATTTGAAAATTTATTTTTTTTAAGCATAAAATTGACCTTGAATCAATTTTTGGAGGGGACTATAAAATTTAGCATTGTGACCAAACTTTTTGCAAAGTCGCAGGAATTTGCATATAAAGAGAGAAGAAATGTTAATTACTGCAAAATTTTGCGAGACAAAGGGGTTTATAAATTGAAAAGGCCAATTCTAAAAATGAGAAGACTAAGAAATGTCTGCATCTGCCAGTTAATTCAGAACTGGTTTCCAAAGCATTCCTTTGAAATTTATTGCAAGAAATATTTCAAAAAGACGTAACTTAAATACCTAGATCATCAGAAAAGTTTTAAAATTAAGGTATGAAATATTGTCCCAGAAGTCATTTTGGTAGATCTAAATAATTTTTCATAATGGCATGAAGGCAAAAGGTAATAAATAAAAGACCTTTCTCTTTGTCTCCACCTCCATAAGTATAGATTGGTCAAATCAGCGTCTGGAGTATTCCACCCTATACTTTTTTTGTATTGCGCAACCAAAGTCTCGGAGCATTGTATCTAGTAACATTATGGAAACAACATTGAACTCGAAAATTTATACCTATAAGGCATTTTATTCTATGGATGTTTGCCAGGACTTAAATAATTTAAGGTTGTATGTGGATTTTTGCTTCTCGAAATGTTGCAAGGAGAGTTAACTGTGTCTGCCTGTCATGATCACTAAAACACTGGCAACTTAGCCCTTTAGTTTTTTCCTTTCAGTTTTGTAGAATCTCTGACGATTATTAAAGAGAATTTTCGATCCCAAACTTCATTTCTACCAGTTTATCATCCAGCGATCAGTAATTCACTTTATGACTAGATTTGTAGCCGATGGCCTCATTATTAATAGCTAGCCAATGATGTGCAGCTTTCTTGTTTCACTACTAGTATTGTCAACAAGTCTATGTAAGCATGGGCGGCATGTTTCTTGAGGTTTTTTTTCGATATTCGACCTAGATGGTCTATACGAAAGCCACTTTTTGACCTCCTGTCTTTCTTCTTTCCTGTGGCTTTTACATCTTACGTTCATAGGTTAATTCGATACAAGTCTCTCAGCCCAAGTTTCATATTATAATTTCTGCTCTATCACTTGGCAGTTATTTTGTCTCTTTGGTACTATTGCAAGATAGTTTCATCTTGAACCCTTATGGTTCTATGTTCCAATGGGACACTGCCCAAACTCTTGACGAATTTGTTCACTGAAAAATTATGAGTAATTGCAAATATATCTTGGTTGTTTTTAAACCTCCCAAAAAAATGGAGTATATAATAAGAAAGAAAGAGAAAAATAAAGAAAAAGAAGAAAATTGGATTAAAAAAAGTAAGAAAAAAAGCATAGTCCGAAGAAAACTGTTTGATGGAACAACCGTGATCATTTGGAAGCATCAGTAGCACAATGTATGTTCAGAGCAACTCCATTACCTCTGCAAGCAGAGGCTTAAACTTCCAAGAATGTAAAGTGTAAATATTAAGAAGAAATTTGTTTTAAATTTATGCATTTCAATTTACTTCAGTTAACTGTTTCTAATTTTTAAGACTACAAAAATATTTGAACATTAGTGACAATTAATTTATTAGAACAGCGGTATGTTTTGTGTTTCATCAACTAACTGCTTATTTCACTTGCAGGCTGGCATTATTGAAGAAATGTTGGATGAAACCATGGACTCAGTTGTCGATGATCCAGAAGATATGGAGGAGGAAGTACAAGGAGAAGTTGACAAAGTAAGTGAAATTTCAAAGAAATTCTATTTTAAGCAGCCATGCTTCGCGTCCAACGTAAAGCGAAATTCAAGAGAAATTTGTGTGCTTTGTAGTGAGTATCCCCAAAATGAAGTTACTGTATAATACTTTAAGTATGAATATGCTCAAAGCTCTAAATTTGGTAGTTTTCAAGTTTCCTGTTTAAAACCATCAACCATCATTAAGAGGGAAAAAGTGAGAAACTTCAAATGTTTTTGCAGAGCAGCAAATGAGGCAATGTCTCATTATAAATTGTTTAAATAGATGGCTCTGTGTTATCCTCTTATGAGTCGTACTTTCTGCAAATGTTGGTTGATTTTCAAATCTTTATCACGCTTATTAGCACGTAGATGCCTAAGTTCTCTCAGTGCTCTCAAAAATTATATAGCAAAATTTAGAATGTATCAAGAAAACTCTAACAAATTTTTGCCTGTTTTTCTCTCTTCTTTTTTTCATTAAAGCTGCCACAACTTCAGCTCTTTTTCCAAACTTATCAGGAAAAATTGTTTTTGTATTTCCCTCTAGGCCTCTCATGGAGCAAGGCATTTATTGGTCAATAGGCGCGTAGCAGCTTCACCTAATCTGCAGAAAATGCTTGTTCTAAATCCTGACAATGTTACCTATCCAAAAATGTATTATTTGTCACTTGGGGTATTTTTTATACAAGGGTGTTTGTCGGCTTTGCCCTGTTCTTGTATTCTGAATCCTCCATATGTTACCCATCCATAAGTTTCATGAATCCGTGAATGTACAGATTTAACCAGAGAATGTTTCATGATTAAAATACCTGTAGATTCCCATTTTTATTTGCTATTTCTCATCAAGTTTACCGGTTAAAAACAAGATTTTTTATCCAGCAATACAAGAAGACACGTCATTTTACATTTTCAAATGCGTTTTTTTCTTTTTCGAAACTTATTTTGTCCCTTGGTTCTCCATCTTATGGCCGTTTACAGGAAAATGCCATTTATCTGTTGCAACGTTTGTGCGGTAAGAACCCTTGAGCATTGGACATCCCTTAAATTGGTGTTATTCATTATTTCAGATTTTATGGGAAATAACCGAGGGACAACTCGGTCAAGCACCAGCTGCTGTTACCGATACCCCGCAGTCTGTACCTGGCACATCAAAAGCCGAAGAGAGCACCGTGGACGACGAGAAAGAACTGGAGGAGATGCAGAACCGATTGCAAGCGCTGCGAGGTTAATGTCAGCAGGAAGCAGCGGAGATATTAAGTTAACCAAATCGGTTTGTGATATCCTTTTACTTGATCGTGTTTCATGGGTCCTACATTGTTTTATTTTCTTTTTGTGTACAATATTGTTGCGAAATGTTATTTATTTATTTTCTAATCTAAGAGTTTTATTTTTTATAATTTTAACCTTACACCGATGGTATTATTGGAATTGTAGCCTTTCAAATGGATCTCTCTCCTTTTTTTTCAAATTCTTCTGTAAATTTTCTGATCCTGAATATTGCCTCACTTAAATTTATGGTATAATACCAATACCTCTGTATGAGCTATTTGTAACAATTTGATGGCTGAACGCAAAAAACAGTCCCAACATTTAAATATCTCAGACTACATTTGAGTTTCTGCACAGAAAATTAATCGAAATGTTTCCTTGTAATTTTTCGTGATTTTTGTTAGTATTAGTGAAGAAAACTGAAAGACAAGTAAAACCTAAACAGAGACTAACCAAGTTGTAATGTAAGATTCACTTTTTATGACTTCAGCCATCGAAATGTGAAGTATGTAGTCTCCAGTCAAGATAACCCAGATTTGACGTTGTTTCTCTTTTTCTGGTAAATTTCAAGAATATAGTCTTTGGCATCTCTTATTTATTTATTTATCAACATTGCATTCTCATCAAATCAACTTAATTTTCGAGTCAAAAGATGGCAAATAGGAATCTAAAAAAATTGGCATCTCCTCAACTGCTTTAATGAAAGTAACAAAAGTAAATTTTTTATCCTTGTTCATATTTGAAATTGGAGAAATAAAAGGAAAAAAAATTGTAGAAAGAATGGATGAAAAATTCACTAGAAAGAACAATATGCTGAAGAATTATATTGGGTGGAAGCACTCTGTGTCCAAGTATTACAGCGTTCCGAGTCTTCTAAATTATTTTTCTCAGCTAAGTTCTGATAATATCATCTCTGTTACTTTTGCTTCAGTTTCTATGCAAGCCCTTTTCCCTCTGTCTTTTTTGTTTCTCCCGTCCTCTTTTCTCTTTTCCGAGTGATAATGTTTTGTTCTTACCCTAAAAGGTATTATCTAGTATCAAGGGCAAAGGAGCGCCAAATATCCTAATGTCATTGTGTTATGGATGCCCAGATCATAAGTAGAAGCAATCAAGAATGGCAAAGTTGGAAATAAGTAAAGATTGTTTTCGTCAATAGTTTTTTTCCTTCTTTTGTTTTTTTTTATAGTGCTTTTTAGGGGATCAATTTCCCTGCCTCAGTTTTCATATTAAAAATGTTTGCTCATACTCTGTGAGGAGCGGAAGTAAAATTGAAGCATTTATTCTTAAGACGCCTGACGGTAGTAAACCCCTCTGTGGATAGACCTTTTTTTTTCCTTATGTGGGTGTAACTAATGATACGCATTAATGTTGAAATGGACGGCATTAAGCAGAAAGGGACCAAGTTACATCAGCCATTGCCAAATGTCATGGAACAAATTATTTTTTTGCAAGAGAACAATTTCTCAGATTCTCCAAAAAATTGCAGGGAATTTCCTACTTGTCACTGGAAAAAATTCCTGCAATCTGCTAAAGAATCTACATTACCATTTCCCTGCATAAAAATGAATCATCCGATGAAATTTGGCAATAGCTGATGTGATCTAGTTCCTGGCTTCCTAATGCGGTCCAAATTGAAAAGCGCTTATCTTGACCACAATTTCTTAAAATGTCCACTCTGTGAAGAAAAATGAAATGCAAGTGTCACTTGGAAATTTTTTAGAGTATGTATTCCTTATACTGACACAAAATAGCAGAAAAAAATTTAAGGAATGACCTTTCTTTGTCCTCTACATTATGTATTGAAATAAAAAAAAACACATATGGTTGCATTGTTAAAAATTTGGATAAGTTTTATGTCAACTAAATGATCAGCGTGTTCATCCTAGCTCAGATTTAGTCATTGAGGATAACAGTTTTGTGCAGCATATTTGGACTACATTTTGTATTTGGGAACCACAATTCTTGGCTCATCCGTAAAAACACGCATGTGAATCGGGAAACCAACTGGTACATACGTTGTTTCTAAACTGAGCCAGAAATTGTAGTCTTAATGCAAAATGTCCATTTGTTACTGTGCTCAAGCATTTATTTTCTACCTATAGACTCAGTATATATGTAGTTTTTTTTGTCATTTTGTAAATACATCTTTGCGATGATCGCAGACTTGCTTTTCAAAATGCATTGCTCACGGGCAAACAGTACTCAACCTCCCATTGTCGACAAGCTAAAGGAACGATAGATATTTTTGAAAGTACTTAAGCAGTGTTTGATTAGAATACTACTCCAATTTTATTGTAAAAAATAAATGGATACTCCATTTAAGAGTTCCCTCATTTCCATTCTGGATACTAGTTATAAACATTCAACAATAAGTTCATTCATTCTAATAAAAACTAAACAGTTACAAATTTAGATTAATTTTTTCCATTTTTTCATGCTGATAGTACTCTTAATGAGCCTAACACTATATCATTTATTATTCAAGTATCGCAATCACTTCTGTTCATTTTGCTACTTTTATAATTTTTATTTTGTGTAATCTCGAACAAGTTGGAATATTTCTTCTCTTGTAGAGAAGTCAACCAAGTGCAATCTGCAAAAATTATCTATTTTTTTTAATCTAATCTTGCTACATTGAAAATCACTGGATCACACAAACTAATAAAATCGGTATCAAAACTTTACATTATCAAGATGAATATATATTAAAAAAGAAAAAAAAATTTTAAAAGTTTCCTTTCGAGACCCACACAAGAATCAGTTAAAAAACTCATTCAGCTTTGTCCAAAATATTTAAAGGTACAGTATTTATTGACCCCTGTCCTTGATCATAACAAGGCTCTGCACTGTCTATTTGTCACCCATGGACTGGCCCAGATGTTTTTCAATAAATCCACAAGACAGGGTAAAAAGTACTCGTCTAAAAGGCATATTTTTGTATCAAATGTCACACAGTATATGTTCAATGTAACAAAAATGTCCAAAATAGAATCATACGTGAAAAATTAATGTTCGTAGTTTACTTTGTAAGTACAAACTTTCTCCTCTCTGAAAAAACCATTATCAATAGAGGTCAAATCAGCCATTAAAAACAATATATCAATGGCGGGTTCGCAAAACAGCGTATCTTCATTGTAGTGTTTCAAGTTTGCTGCTATTTTCAAAGAGAAACAAACCAACTTTATAGCTTGAAATTTATATGGAATATTCTGTTAATGGAGAAGAAAAATCATGAAAGTCTTATAGAAGTCACGTTGATCAGTTTTCAAAAAAAAAAAAACAATAAATTATGACAGGAAGTCTGCAGTGTCACAGTCGGAGATACGTGGTTTCGAACTTTGACCGTTGATATACATGAGGCCAACAACTGGAGCATGATTTTACACCCATTTCACTCCTTTTATGATACAAACCAATCTTGTCAAAAAAAATTAGCACACAGGAAAATTCTGCCATTAAAAAGTATAACAAAACTAGTTTTGTGCCTAATTTGACGCAAGTAGACCTCACAGTTTTTGTAGCAGGGATTGTGAGTTGACATGCACAAAAAATGCCTTATTTCCCCCTATGAGTTAGATTTGAAAAGTTTTAATGCATCTATTGTATTCTGCATATAATTTTCACAAGGAAACTTGTAATATTGTGCTTAATTTTGTTCTCTGTCTAGTGGTCCATTGGTTTTTTCCCCTCAAATCCCTGAAGCTTAAACCCTTTACATTTTTATTTAAAATGTGATAATTGATCAAGCCAATTTAGATACGTAGTTGTTTCCAAAGTACCTAGGTTAGTACCCCTTTCAGTGTGTGTAGTTGCGTCTGATGTGGACGAAAGCAAGATTTTCTTTCCTCAAGAAGTTTAATGAAAAAAATTCTGTCAAAAAAGTATTTTTTGAGAAGAACTATGGATGTAAATACAATACATTTTTCAACTATTTTTACATCTGTATGACTACGAAATGCCGTTGAAAACCATCGGAAGTATAACTATAAGCGAAATTAATTTCCTCTCACATTTTTTGTTCCTTTTCTTATTCTTCCCTTCACAAATTTTCCCTCGTATTTTATCTGCTTCTTCATTTCTCCTCTGTGTTGTCCTTTTTGTCGTGTTGCTGAAGTTGAATTATTGACACTGCAAGAGCCTCTCATCCTTTTTTCTAGGATATAAGGAAATTTTTCATTAAGCTGTATTTTGTGTTACTTTTTCCCCAAGCAGGAATAGTGTTCAAAATCGGATTTCGTTTAGTTATCAGTTTTTTTCATCAAGAAATCTAAAATGGAAGCAGTCTCAGTATTATTTATTGTCTGAAAGCCGTAACTATCAATTTTTCTTCTTCCTGCATTCAATTTAAACTGAACTCGGACACAGAGACAATGGAAATTTACACCGAAGACAAATTCATCAGTGTCTCAGACACATCAGTGTACATCAGTCTTCATCAGCGCACATCAGACTTTTCCTACTCAGATGTTTTATTTTGTAAAATGGAAATGAAGCAACCTTGAAACTTGTCTTGTGAACGTATTCCTCTTAATTTAAGATAAAATCAGAAAATTTAAAGGCCTTTAAGCAGTTTTCTCTGTTGAGAAAGTGAAAAATGATAGATAATCAGGGAACAACAAATGCAGCTAGGCTATTTTTCCGGTTAATCTGGCCATATATAATGAAACAATTCAACTCTCTTTGTAAATTGTTGAGTTGTCTCCTGGAGTTCATGCTAACTAAGTTTTGCTGATTTTTTTAATTTTGAGGGAATACTGTAGTGAAGAGATTAACTCACAAAACTCATTATTCTGACTTTATTTCGCAGCCAAATCTTTTGGTTGATTCAAATTTCAACACTTAAATGGTTGCTAATCATAAATTAAAACCCTAAATTCTTGTTCGATGGATTAATTTTATTTTCCAGTCTCTGGTAAATTTTCTTATGAAATATTAACGTCCAGTATTTTCCTTTGCTTTGTAACTTGTCTCCCGTACAGAGGAACGTATCTCGTCTGCACTATCTCGGTACCTCTACATACTAACATTTTATTTTTTCGAGGGAAAACCATTACACAAATTTTTTCGAAAATTTCGGTGTCTTTTCTTACAAAGGTAAAGAAAAATCACTGGAACTTCAAGCAGGCAGTCTCATGCCACGATTCTCGCATGTAAAAATAAAATGTCAACAAGAAATACTGAAACAGCATAATGGGTTTAAGTTTCTCAGCATGGGAGATGACGATTTAGTGGCTATTGGATGCCTTATTTTTGCTCTTTTACATTCAAGCAACAAAAAAAGTAAACTGAAAGGATTGAACTACCTTGTCCTTTCAAAAAATATTATTTTTATTGATTAACCGATAATAATTTTTAATTACTGTAACTAAAGCTGCTTTTTTACCACTTGTAACTACATAGACCAATGCTGACAGAAAAGTACAGCTAACTATTTCTTGTAGGTAATTTACATAGTATGTTTGTTATCACCATCTTTGCACTAGTCATTTAAGTTTACAATGTTTTGGCAGGCAAATAAATCTGAAAAAATAAAAAAGTCAAATCTCCTGGAACAAGGTTTAAAAATTCCCAAGATTCTTAAACGAAACTTGCTTGGAGCAAAATGCAGAGACATGATGTCACTGAAGCTCCTTGATCATTACGATCTCTATGAATGATCACAATCTGTGCCTAGTGACCAGTGCGTCTTGCCTCCTCTGTTCATTTGATTCTTAAACGCTTTAAATGTACTGTTGTCTCAATACATTTCAAAGGTGAATCTGCAAAAACGCGTGTCTCAATTTGTGAATTTGCAGATTTCCCGTCATTCTTAATTTGTTTAGAAGGAAACTTCTCAATGTCATCTCTAAAAAATTTTCGTGATTATCATCCTAGTATGAAAAATATTTTGTGAAAATTTGAAGTAATGATGTTGGTTTGCTTTTCTCTTAAAAATAATATGGGAGCGAAGATTTTGAAACACCACAATTGAGGTATTCTCTCCTGCAGTTTCATTGCATCAATTTGGTTATACTGTTGTCTTTCCAATATTGCTGCAGGTTTCAATCACAGACTTTTTCAAATCACAAGTGTATTATTTTTTCTGCCTAATAAACTGTCACCATTTGCATCTTATTGCATTATTTCTCCTCTTCTTTTTCTTCGTGAGCTATCCCTAGGAAAAGAATTTTTTTTTTCTACCACTCACCATAAATGACTAAATTGTAAATACGCACTCAAAAAAAGAAGGGAAGAAAAAATTGGACCTTTAATTATGCATTTTTGAATCTACACGGCTAATTTTAGGAAAATATTTCCTTCCAAGTCCGAAAATGCGTTTTTTCCAATGCAACCACCCATCACCCTGATTTAAAGATAAAGTAGGTTGAAGTAAAATTAGGGTTTTCACTTAAATAGAGAATAGTTAGATAAGGCAAGGAGACAAGAGACATGAAACTTCTTTAGACTTTTCACCATGAACCTAAAAAAATATATATATTTACCTCTAGTTTTATACATGAGCTAGGAAATCTTGTCCTTTTGAAATGAAATCTACATAAAAGTTACCTTTCAAATGAAGGATTTGAAAAAAATTGGCATCAAAATTTTGCAGAATTCTAAAAGTCACTTAGCTGAACTGCGCTTTATGCTAAACTCAAAATAAACTCAAAAATAAGCTTCTCATTGAATACAACAAGAGAATAATATATTTTTATCGAAACATTGTATTTTACTCCTGTTTCACCACACCATCAATGTGGAGTGCAAAGAAAATTCATACTGAAAAACGTTATAGGTAATTTTATAAAAGAATATATAAGTACTCTTCTTTTTCAACAGAGTTCTTATGGTTTTAAGTGCTAAATAGCTACAGTAGATTTATTAAGTGTTTTTAAACACTTTTATTTTACTTAAATACCTTTCATAATTTGAACTTATGAAACCTTAAAGAGGGTATTTTCAAAAAACTTTCAACAGTTTTTCTTAGAGTTGTTATCTCAACACTTGAGTAAGTAGATACAAGGTTTCTTAGATAAGAGAGAACCTGAAAATAATCGAAAATAGTCATCATCAGTCACCCTCTGATAAGGGGGCTTGTTCAACTCGTATTGGAGGATCCCTCATTGACGGGATAATAAACGGGGGAAATTCCGAATTAAAACGGCAACGCTGTTTATGATTCGCGGTTTCCAGCTCTCGAACACGCTCTAGTGACAGTCTCGTCACTCAACCTAAAATCACCCCCCAGAAGCTGAAATGAACGTTCGCCTTCAATACTCCAAGTATGCTATGTGCAGTACCGAGTCTAGTGCTGATAAGAGCGATCTCTTTTGACAACTCGTTAATCGTGAAACGACTTCTTTCCTTCGTGACTCGTCCATTCGATTCACTTCCAGCTTCTTTCGACGGAGGGTGCAGTGATCGAATCACATCAAAACAGTCAAACTTTCATTTTGAATTTTGAAAAATAAAAAATATGAGTCAAACTCTGAAGTTTCTCATCGGGTTATCCGCTTACACAACTAGATAAGGTACGAATCTCTGCATTCTACTGTATGTTTCCTCTCTAAAATTTTACAGGGAACTTAACTTGGGCAACGAAAATTACTGAAATCAACTGCCGAACAGGGTTATTTAGTTCTTATTTAGCACTGAATGCGAAATATTTAAATTTTCCGCTTTCAAGGAAAATCAGAGTCTACGTAAGTCAAATTGCGCACTACCAATAGTTTGGTACTCTTTTTCATCGAGTGATGTTTCTTTTTTTCCTCTCACTGTGTTTTCCAAAATGTTAAATGCTGTAGCTGAGCCGAAGCGCCGAAATTGATGTTTTGTCTTATATTTCCATAGCAAAGAGACAGTTCCAATAAATTTAGTGTGCGATTTCACTCAAGTAGATTATTGTTTTCTCTAGGAGAGGGAAGTTTGAATTTACGCATCTGGAAACCTTTAATATCTTCATTAAAAGTCGATTTCAGTAATTTGTGATGCGCAAATCGTATTCTACGTGAAATTTTAATTAGATTTTATCCATCACAATGCTTTAATTTGCGCCTTGTCTTGTGGTCCATGCCCGAATAATTGTTGCGGGTTGCACACGAAATCCGCGAGAATCGTTGTTATTTTGTGGAAAGTAAAATTGCACTTTTCGGTGAAACGAAATTTTTAGAAAAATGGGAAACGTGAAACATTTTGCATCTCTGTGTTGGAGGTGCATTATCATTTGATTGTCGAAAATCGAAAGAACCAAATCAACCTAAGGAATCGAACCCAGGACTCGATCCCTCTTGGTGTCGAACGAGTCGCAACTTGAACGAGACAGCTGTAGTACCGACATGGATCGCGAATCTTACGGTAGCCATCCGCGACTGATAACGATTTGTTTTCGTTCCATAGCTACTTCATCTTTACGCCTCGATTTTTGAAGCCTCGGTAAAATCTCTTTCGTTTTCTCTTCGAATTTACGATTATGTCGCGTCGAATTATAGCTGGCAGTATTGATAACAGTGCGTTCTCCCCGTATCACCACCAGTGAAGTTCGTGAAGTTCCTGACCCACATTAAAGATCGTGGGGCTTTTCAACGATGGGTGTGTTTCCCCGGAATTTTTTGTGTTGTGATGTTCACTAGGAAACCCAGGATTTTCACAATTTTGAAAGGGCCTGCTTTGGTGAGTTCTTTTTTCAATTTTATCCTGTCGCACTTCCTTCGAGCGCACATAACCTATTTTCCTCGATGGATCAACCTTTCAGATCACAAGTATTTTAAATTTTTTCAGACCTTCTCTGGTTGACTGCCGATATTCGACGCATTTTTCCAACGTTCATCCGTCGTACGACTAATGATGAACAGTTTTGTTTTTATCATTGCTCTTACCCATCGAGTGATTATAATCTGTTTTATCTTATGTAATCACTGGATACCTAACCCTATTAAAGTGCTTATCCCCTGATTAGCTATGCGAACTTCCATTGATTTCACATTTAATGAAGGATTAGTCCATGGCACAAGTGCTATAAATCTCCTTCCACTGAAAGCTCCAATGCTTGCCATCGAGACTAATCACCGACGCATACTTCCAGTGGTCTTATTCATAGAGCTTTTACGCTGGTTTCTTTTATTTTAATCAATAGCTCAAAACAAATAACATTAGTAGGATGGTTGATCTTCTGTATCTACTATCCCTCATCAAAGGGTCTTGACTGGAATTCAGCTGAGTGTGACCGAACTTCTAACTCCTAGTTCCATGCAGTTTAAGTACGGACAATGTACGTTAAGAGGAAACTTTTTGCAAGCATAGCTTTACACTTCAGGAGAAGCTGCGCAGACTGGCCGTACATTTTTAGGGTTGTCAATCATGATCTGTCCTTTGTCAGTACTATTTTACTAGTAGTAGTGGGTAGTTGGGAAGATTTTATGTAGTAGCAAGATGTAGAATTATGATATTTTAGGCGATTTGAATGGGGTGAAAATAGAGGAGCATTAGGTACAACAATTCAGTGTTTTGCCTGGCAATTTCAAACGATTAAATATGAATTTGACACATCAATATACTTAATGCTCCTTCATCAGGAGCGCACCTTGTTTGGTGGGTGTCCGGACAACCCCCAGCAAAACCTCACCCTGGAAATTCAGCTACAAATCACAGATTGACATTCTGTAAGAGAATGAGAATGTAAATCACTCAACTCAAAGTAGAGATTTATAAAGATTTAAACAATATCAAAATCTCAGACAAGCTGACTAAAAAAAGCGTTTACGAAAAAAAAAAAAATAGTTAAGTACCGAAGGATATAAATTCAATTGTACATAACTTTAAAGGAATTTTAGATAGGTACATTTAGGAGGAATTTAGATGAGTTCATAAGAATTTAGATTTTTTTTTTTAAATGGAATGGCACTCTTCACATAAAAAAGACTAGATCCGCACTTCAAAACTGCAAAATATCGTCACAGTAATTTTGTACAGTATATGTTTCAATATACTTAAATGTAGATGTCACAGTTAATCGGGGCTTGGAGGACAAGGCGCATACCTACTTAAGTGCAGTTTTTTTAAAAAAAATTTAGGCATTAATGATTTCAAGTACACAAAACTAGTCTGAATGCATTTACTGTGAAAAATTTGCTCCCAACCTCTAATTTTTAAGCATCAATTACTTAGTCAGTTTAAACTTACTTTTTGCCTTAAGGATTAATGTCATTTCGAAACTTCAAACATGTTTTTCTCGAAATAGCAAAAGCTACACTTAGGCGCCTTGTCCTCAAAGTCCGTGGATTACATTTTGCAATTAGGAACTGCATTTTCTAGCCCATTGGTTAAAAGACTTATGTGCATAGTGAACTGATGAGCTGATGAGAACGTAATGATGATGAGTGAACTGATGGTACATATGTCGTTTCTGAAATGAGCCAGATATTTTAGTTCTGAATAAATTGCAAAATGTAGTCCAATTACATTCTGGTCAGGACTTTCTACTGGCACAATCACGCTGTCATCTCTGATTCATCCACTGCTTCTGGAAAATTGAATGCCAGCAGGAATGGCACATCTTTCACCGCCTTTTCGGTTGATGTTTGAAGTTCCTCGTTATGATTGAAAAAAGTCGTAAGCACGCAGTCTAAGTCTAGAGCCAGAGTCTCATTTCGCCTTCAATTTTGATGATACTTCAAGCACACCCCTAGAGCGCGAATAGTGGTATCAAAGAGCCGTGTGAGTTTGAGAGAGAGCTTTCTTTCGTTGTCATCTCTTGATTTTATGTACCTCAACGGCATTTTTTACGCTAGGGTCGCGGTTCGATAGTGCCGTAAACTTGTGAAAAATAAAGATAAAGTTTGTCCTTATGTCGAGGATAGTTCTCTCGTTTTGATAGAAAGCGGTCGTCCTTAATAATTTCGTAAGCTTTAGAAATGATTCATTTTAGAGTCTGATGTTTTCTCAACAAATGCGCATACTGCAAGTTTGACGCGGTGTTCTGCAGAACATTATCAATGGCGATGTTGCATGTGTGAGGGATTTGCGATTAGACTGTTGTTTCTTGTGTAAAAGTTTGCGAGAAACACGATGGTGCCACTGGTTTTCTCTGAAATCAACTCCCAAGCTCAATTAAAGCTCTCTAAGTGAGGCCAAAATGGAGGGGATATCCCGCCCTACCCTGAGAGTCCACCTCTACATCAAAACAAACTCTCCATGCGAAGATAGGGAGCAAATACATTGACAGGCCTGCCACTTTATTTGGGGACTCCAAAACTGAAAACACGGCAACCCTGCTAATGTATTTGCTCCCTATCTTTGCATGGAGAGTTTGTTTTGATGTGAGGTGGACTCTCAGGGTAGGGCGGGATATCCCCTCCATTTTGGCCTCTTTTTAAGAGCTTTTTTTGAGCTTGGGAGATGATTTCAGAGAAAACCAGTAGCACAATCGTGTTTCTCGCGAACTTTTACACATGAAACAGCTGTCAAATCGCAAATCCCTCACACATGCAACATCCCCATTGCGCAGCATGAAAGACCGAAAGATTTTGTTGCGATCTCAAATCGATCTTTTAGGAGTGCTAAAAACTCTTTAAGGGGCTTTTGAAATTGTGCCTCCTACTTTTACCCCCCCCCCTCCAATGGTGGTGGCTAGGGGGGCTTCAGAACCATGAAAATCGGATTCCTTGGGGTCGATTGCTAGGGATACCATATTTTTCCGGAGAGTCTACGTCAATTTTTGACCAAAGGGAAATCATGGAGGAGGCCGCTGTCCCCCTCTTTAAGGGATCATTTTCGGGCGTAAAGTGGTCCGATTTTGGATTTTTAGGGGTCAGTTTCACGTAAAATTCTCCGTACTTTCCGATTTTAATGCAATCAAATCGCAACTCCATCAGGGACCCCGACTTTTGGGATCGTGAAACATGTATTTCGAAGAAAAATCATGCGTATTTTTCCTTGAAACTTTCGGACGTTTTAGATAAAATTTCAAACAAAATTGTCTGAATAAATTGAAGAATAATATTCTCAATTTTCTAGTAGATTAAGTTACCTATTATTGAAAGAAATATGGCAGCGTCTGAGGGATCATACGGCGTTTTTCCTTAGCACGGCAGCATTGACTGGGTCCAGTGTGCGGTGAAGAATTCGGGACCTCTCCAGTCTCCAGTCTTCTCGAGGTGTCACCGACCGAAGATCCCTCTCGAGAAAACTGCTGCGCCAAGAAAAAACACGGTGTCAATCTTCGGACGTGCCAAAGTCCTTCCGACAAAACGTGAACTTTATACTGACAATTTAATCCATCGTACTTACCCGAAAATGGAGATGTTGCATGTGTGAGGAATTTGCGATTTGACTGTTGATTACAATGTAAAAGTTCGTGAGAAACACGATGGTGCCACTGGTTTTCTCTGAAATCAACTCCCAAGTTCAAAAAAAGCTCTCAAGTTCAGGTCAAAATGGAGGGGATATCCCACGCTATCCTGAGAGTCCACCTCTACATCAAAACAAACTCTCCATGCGTAGATAGGGAGTAAATACATTGACAGGGCTGCCACTTTATTTGGGGACTCCAAAACTGAAAACACGGCAACCCTGCAAATGCATTTGCTCCCTGTCTTTGCATGGAGAGTTCGTCTTGAAGTACACGTGCACTCTCAGGATAGCGTGGGATATCCCCTCCATTTTGGCCTCAACCTGAGAGCTTTTTTTGAGCTTGGGAGATGATTTCAGAAAAAATCAGGGGCACCATCGTGTTCACACGAACTTGTACACAAGAATCAATAGTCAAATCGCAAATTCCTCACACATGCGACATCTCCATTTAATCCATCTTACCCGAAAATTCAAAGGAACATACTCTTTTAACCTCTACTTTTCTGTAAAATTAATTTTTTGAGGGTGGAATTTGCCGTGCTAGGGTAAAACGCCGTATGAGCTTTCGCACGAACGTGCAATGACTCATCGCAAACCACGACACGGTAGTGGTGAAGCGTAATCATAGGCTATCGATATTTTCTCATTTGAAACTGGTAAAGAGAGGTGTTTGTTAGGAACAACCTGATGATCAATGCTTTTCCATCGGTTTAAATGACCGATCCAGGGCCGGATTAAGAGGGTGGCCACATGGGCCGCGGCCCATGGCGGCAAAAAGGGGCGGCAAATTTTGCAATTTTTTTAAATGTAGGTATCAAGAAAAATCGGATTCGGGAAAATGATTACAAACGAGGAAAGGCCACAAAATCTGTCATTTCCTGAGAGTATAGTAATTGCTAATTTCGTCGTCTTTCGGTGATACAAGAGACACCACTTATAATTAGTCCAGAGAGAATTCAAACACGCAATTTGGCCTGGAGCGGCGCGGCGCGGAAAGGAATGATGACGAGGACTTGAGATGACAAGGAGAAGCCCTCGGCGCGGTGGTCGGCATGTAACACATATTAGCGCCTACATAACTGCATGAATACTTCACGCATTGCGTCGTACACTGTGCGGTCATAGCAGCGCAGCGGTCGACGGACGTGAAACGCATAGCGCCTACAAGAATGTAGGGATACTTCACGCATTGCGCCAAACGCAGTGCGGTCAGCGCGGCACGGCGGCGGCGGACGTTAAGATTATTAAGCCACATTCGTGTTTGTTCTTTCATAATTTTTTCGTTCATTTCTTATTAATGAAGGCTTTATCCAGACAGAGAT